GAAGGCCTCCGGGCCCAGGCGACAGCGGAACCGCTCCAGGCTCCGGCACCCGGCCTCCACGTGGGAGCTGATGGTGGAGACCAGGGAGCAGAGGAAAGAGCAGGAGTTGCAGTGCAGCTTTCCCTGCTCCAGCCGGTACTTCTCAGGCGGGGAGGGGCGCTTGGCTTCCCCCACTTGGGCGTGGGCTCCTGGCACAGACGGCTTAGCCACCTTGGGCTCAGCAGCACCCTCCCGTTCCTGGCTGGGGGCTGGGCTGCCTGCGGCCGGCGCCGCAAGGAAGGGCTGGCTCGTGGAGGAAGCGTTCACAGGCCCCAGCTCCATCTCCATCGGGGGCTCCGGAACGTTGCTCGCTTCGCCCTCCCCCACGCCGGCCCCGCCAGGCTGCTCAGCAGCAGCCGCCTTGGAAGGCTTGTTCTTTCGCAGGAGCACGGGGCACTTCTTCAGCCGGTGGGTGTTGAGGCCCCGCTGCTGCTTAAAGCTGGCCCCCCACTCCCGGCACAGCAGCGGGGCCCTGCGGCTCTGGCACCCGGCTTTGACGTGCAGGGCCATGGACTTCTCCTTCCGCGTGATGTACGCGCACGTCTCGCACTTGAAGATCTGGCTCTCCGACTGCACCACCAGCATCTGCACCCTCCCCTCCAAGACCAGGGTTTCGGCTTGCTCCTTGTCCTGCCTCCGGAGAGCTTTCAGCACCGACTCCGACTGCGGCCCCGCCTTGGCCTCTGCACACGGGGAGGCCGGGGCAGGAAAATGGCTCTGCTCCGCTGGCTTTATGACGCTAAACCAGGCCTCTTGCATGCTGGGCTCTCTGGCGTCTGGCGCTGCGTCGCTGTCGGCGGCCGTGCTGGGCAAGTCAGAGCAATGCCCGTCCCCTCCATCCTCAGGCCCCGGCTGCGTGTCCGTTTCAGGGCTCTCTTCCAGCTGCACGGCACTGGCCAGGTCGCCAGCGCTGCCCCCCAGCCTCTCCTGCTCTTGGCCCTCCGGCTCCTCCTCGAAGTCAGGGACGTCTTCAAGCCCGTTGTCGTTGTCCTCCAGGGCCAGCGCATCCCGCGAGCTCAGCACCTCGTAGGCCGGGGCCCTGCAGCTCAGGGGGTCTGCACTCTCCGACTGAGCTGTGGGAGGCTCGCTACCCACGTGTCCCAGCGGACAGGCTGCCGTGACGTCCAGCGGCTCCAAGTGCAACGTGCAGCCTTCAACCGCGTCGCCGGCGGCATCCACAATCCCCGAGTCCCCCGCCACCGCGGAATCTCCCCAGGGGCCCACCTCGGCGGAAAGACCCCCCTCGTCCTCAGCCCCAGGGGCACAGCCAGAGGGGGCCACGCCGAAAGCCTGCTGAGGAGGCTCTTGCGGGGGCTTGCTTTTTGGCCAGAGCTCCTTCCCGGGCAGGGAGTCGGAGCGCAGGGCGGCGCCGAGCTCGTAGCTGAGCAACATGTCGGGCGAGCTGCTCTGCAGCTCCTTGCTGGCGTAGTGCTCCAGCCACCCCTTGTCGCCCGGCACGTAGCCGTGCACCTTGCGCTTGTGGAAGAAGAGGCTGGTGTTGCTGAAGGTGCAGTGGGAGCAGAGGGCGCAGCGGAACTCCCTCTGCTTGGTGTGCTTGCAGTTCTCGTGGTTGAGCAGGGCCTGCTTGTACTTGGTCTGGTAGGTGCAGAACTGGCACTGGAAGACGGGCACCTGGTAGTTCTGCGAGTGCTTCACCTGCATGTGCTTCTGCAGCTCGTACTTGCGCTTGCAGGCGAAGCCGCACACCTCGCAGATCAGGCTCTTGCCCTGGTGCCGTAGTTTGTGGCTGCTCAGCTGGTCGGCCCGGTGGCAGCGGTACGAGCACTGGTTGCACTGGTACCTGCCGGAGACACCGGAGACGGTCAGGGGCCTGGCCACCCCTCGGCCGGAGCAAAGCTGGGGCTTGCTGCAGGGCCAGCTCCCTCCCCAAAAAGTGCGAAGGGCTTGGGCAGTGCAGGCATCGACCACCTCCCAGGATCAGGCCCTTTGGCCGCCCTTCACTTCAACCTAGCCGGGGGCCTGCCCTCCTGGGCACTGCCCCACTGCCCTGCTCCAATGCCTGTGAGTTATAACAGCTGGGCCAGAGCGGGTGTGCTGTGAACCCGTGTCTGTGTCCATCCCCAGGCAGAAGCAACGTGAACGGCTGGTCTCCAAGAGAAAGCGTGTGTGTCCTTCCTAGCCGGAAAGGCCCTTGGACACCCGCCTGGCGAGTGTGGGACATTAGCGAGGACAGAAGCCAGTTGCTGTTCTGCTCTCCTGCCTGGGAAGGGGAGTCAGACAAGTGGGTTCCTCCCATCAGGCGAGGAGGGGGGTAAAAACCTCACGCAAAAGGAACTAGGGATCTCTATGCTGCTTGGAACTGGGGGTGGAAGGGGTCCAGCTCTAGCCAAGAGATCCCCAGCGGCTTATCCTGGGTGCCCTACACATCACATAGCGCTTGCTGACGACAGATGCTTTTCTTACTTCTTGAAACGCGAGATTGTTACTCGTTTGCGTGTGTGCATTCGCCTGCTTTGGCCTAGCCTCCTTGTGGCATGGAATAAAGCTGTACCTAGCGTCTACCAGGCTCGGCTGCGAGGAGTTCTGTTTGGCGCAAAAGCTCAGGTGCTACTGACCCAGAGGAACCGCCCGCTCCTTTGGGATGGGGAGGAACCTGCATATTGCTGTGATTTGTGGTGTCACAAGGACACGCTCACCTGTGGCGAGACAGACCAGGAACCCAAGGGACTGATACCTGGGTGGTGACATCTCAGCCCCGGACTCACAGCCAACATGGGGCGTGTGCCCTGCTTCCAAGCCGCCTGCCCAAGGGTTGGTCCCCTCCGACAGCGGGACATGCCATGCTGGCAGCGCCTCCAAGTGCCCAGCTGGCCAAGAGTGGGAAGCGCACCCAGCGCAGTGGGCGAGGATGCAGACCACTAGCCCTAAGCCAGGGGTGATGAACCCTTTTGGGCTGGGGGCCATGGCCCACAGGAAAATCAGTCGGGGGCCATACACAAGTGAGAAGCCGAAAAACCAAAAAAAACCCTCTCTCGCTGACCCGGCCCGAGTGAGGGGAAAGAACCGAGAAGAAGAAAAAACAAAGATATTCACCCCACTACCTTCAAGCTCCAGCCCAGAGCCTATGGGGCCTGGGGCTAGTAGACTTTGTGGGGCTCTGGGTGGGGCCAGGGTGGGGGGGGCGAGGGCTGGGAGCAGCCTGGCCGTCCCCGGAAGGGGGGGCCGGAGGCAGGTACCTGAGGTCTCCGGTGTGCTTCCTCATGTGCACGTTCAAGTAGTGCTTCCACTTGGTGACGTAGCCGCACTCGGTGCACATGTAGTTCTTGTCGTTGGAGTGGGTGAGCATGTGCTTGGACAGGTAGCTCACGTCCCGGCAGGTGAAGTCGCAGAGCTCACACTTGTGGGGCTTTTCCCCTAGCCAGAGCAGAGAGAGAACCTTTCACCAGGGTGAGGGCGGCGCTCATTTCCCCGCCGGCCCCACAAGGGTGTAGCTCGGAGGGAGGCAGGGCAGGCCCTGCAGCCAGCCAGGCAGCGGGGGGAAGGAGGAGGCGGCAGGGGGTGCTGCAGGGAGGCGGCTGTGGATCTAGCGAGATAGAGGCAATGTGGGAAAAGCTTTGCAGACCAAGAGGAACCACTTGAAGCCCACGCAGCCCTTCCCAGGCACCCTGTGACTGATACAGGGCGGATGTATCCCACCAGCACCGCTCCCACTGGCCAGCCCCTCGCACGGGAGATGTGCGTTATAGAATCACGGGACACTAGACCTGGCAGGGACCTCGCGAGCTCATTGCGACCAGTCCCCTGCCCCCATGGCAGGACCCAGTACCATTCTAGACCAGTGCTCCCCAATGCGGAGCCAACGGGCGCCATGGTGCCCACTGGGGCATTTGTGCGCGCCCGCCTAGTGACCAGGGCCAGCCCGAGCCATTCTTGAGCCCTGGGTGCCCGGCGCATGCGCAGCCCCCACCCCCAGGCGTGCGGTACATGCACAGCCCCCACCCCCAGGCGTGTGGCACATGCATGGCTCCACCCCCAGGCACCCGGCAGCCCCAAAAGGTTGGGGACCACTGATCTAGACCATCCCTGATCAACGTCTATCTAACCTGTTCCTAAATATCTCCAGGGATGGGGATTCCACAACCTCCCTGGACAATTGATTCCAGTGTTTAACCCCCGGACAGGCAGGAAGTTTTTCCCAATGTCCAACCTAAACCTCCCCTGCTGCAGTTTCAGCCCATTGCTGCTTGTCCCGTCCTCAGAGACCAAGGAGAACAATTTTTTTTCCCTCCTACCTGTGACACCCTTTTAGATACCTGAAAACTGCTCTCATGTCCCCCCTCAGTCTTCTCCTTTCCAGACTAAACAAGCCCAATTCCTTCAGTCTTCCCTCCTAGCTCATGTTCTCTAGACCTTTCATCATTGTTGTTGCTCTTTCTGGACCCTCTCCCATTTCTCCACATCTTTCTTGAAATGTGGTGCCCAGCACTGGACACAATACTCCAACTGAGGCCTAATCAGCGCAGAGCAGAGCAGAAGAATAACTTATGTGACTTGCTCACAACACACCTGTTAATACATCCCAGAATCATGTTTGCTTTTTTGCAACAGCATCACACTGCTGACTCATATTCAGCTTGTGGTCCACTATAGCCCCTAGATCCCTTTCTGCCATGCTCCTTCCCAGACAGTCGCTTCCCGTTCTGTGTGTGTGAAACTGATTGTTCCTTCCTAAGTGGAGCACTTTGCATTCGTCCTTATTAAACTTCATCCTATCGACCTCAGAGCATTTCTCTAGTTTGTCCAGATCATTTTGAATTAGGACCCTACCATCCAAAGCACTTGCAACCCCTCCCAGCTTGGGATCACCTGTGAACTTAATAAGCGTCCTCTCTATGCCAATATCTAAATCGTTGATGAAGATATTGAAGCAAGCCGGTCCCAAAACAGACCCCTGCGGAACCCCACTTGTTATGCCTTTCCAGCAGGATTGGGAGCCATTAATAACTACTCTCTGAGAACGGTTATCCACCCAGTTACGCACCCACCTTATAGTAGCCCCATCTAGGCTGTATTTCCCTAGCTTATTGATAAGGTCATGTGAGACCGTATCAAATGCTTTATTAAAGTCTCAGTATACCACATCCACCGTTTCTCTCTTATCCAGCAGACTCCTTATCCTATCAAAGAAAACTATCAGATTGGTTTGACATGATTTGTTCTTTACAAGTGGAAAGGCACCAGGTCCTCTCCTTTGTGTGATCTGCTGTCGCCTTGGCTCCAGCAGGAACCAGCCCAAATCCCATCACCTCTCCTCCAAGCTCAGGTTCCTCAGGTCTGGCACTGCCCTCTGCTGCAGGGCTGCTCCCCCCGTGGTACAGGGCCCACCGTGCCACGCCGCACTGCTGACTGGTCTGACAAGTCAGGGAGAGGCACAACATGGCGGCTTTGCCTTGGCTTGCTGCCCCTCCGGCAGGGCCATCTGCCGCTTACAGGACTTACCCAAGGCTACAGAGCAGGGAACCGAATCGAGGAGTCCTGATTCCCAGCCCCCCATGACCACTGGATCCCAGCCCCTCCCAGAACCCGGAATCAAACCCAGAAGTCCTGATTCCCAGCCCCCCATGACCACTGGATCCCAGCCCCTCCCAGAACCCGGAATCAAACCCAGAAGTCCTGATTCCCAGCCCCCCATGACCACTGGATGCCAGCCCCTCCCAGAACCCGGAATCAAACCCAGAAGTCCTGATTCCCAGCCCTCCATGACCAGTGACCGACGAGCGGTGCGATGGGGAAGCCGAGCGACGTGGTCGTGGAACTCCACGGGGTTGAAGGTGGCGTAGGGGCAGAAGCCGCACTGGAGCTGCTCGCTGCCTGGGTGCCCCTGCTTCTTGTGCTTGCGGAAGACGTGCTTGTTGGAGCAGACGAAGTCGCACTGCTGGCAGTGGAAGGCGTAGTGGGCTTTGCGGTGGGTTTCCATGGCCTCAGGCGTGGCGAAGAGCAGGGAGCAGGCGTGGTACTTGCACTCCACCGCCTTGATGCCGTGGGCCTCCTTGAGGTGGCGGACGAAGTCCTTGCGGTCGTCGGTGCAGTAGCCACAGTCTCCCTGGAAGCAGCTCAGCCCCTTGGTCTCGGCCTTGTGGGTCTTCAGGTGCTCCTTGAGCGCCTGGCTGAGCCGGAAGGTCTCCTGGCAGACGGGGCAGGAGTAGACGTCGGAGTAGAAGTTGGAGATGTCCTCGTGCATGCTGGCCATGTGGCGGTTCAGGGCGTTCTTCTCCACGGAGCTGTAGCGGCAGAGCGGGCAGTGGTGAGCTTTCTCCCCGGTCTCGCGCAGCAGGTGGATTTTCAGCTTGCTCTTGCTGGTGAAGTACTTCTGGCAGTTGGGGCACTGCAGGCTGGGGTCGGGGAAGTGCAGGTGCAGGTGCTCCACCAGGTGCGTCCGCTTCTTGAAGCACCGCTTGCACTCCGGGCACATGTGGGTTTTGAAGAGGTACTCTGAGCCCTCCGTGACATGCCCTGCAAAGGAAACCATCCCAGTCAGAGGCAGAGACAGGAAGAGGTCCCCAAGGATGGGAGATGCCAAGCGGGGCTGGGTAGGAAGCCCGGTCGGAAGAGTTGCCTTTCTTCCCCGAGTCTGCTCTCGGCTGGACAATAAATGGAGCCGAGAACCATGGCTGATCACAGCCGGTGAGGTAGCCACCATCTCACATGCACCTCAACTGCAAACCCTGAGCTCAGAGCCAGCCGCTGCCTGTGGACCCCTGCCTTACCGGCTGGACGGATCTCAGTGCCCAGGCAACTTCCCCTCCTCCCTCTCTCACACTCTCTGACGCTGCCTGTGCTGACCTGACACCAGGAGCCACATATGGAGCAGCCACCTGCCAGCCAGGCCCCTGCCACCCGTGAACTGGGAAGCAGCGGTGCAGCATTAGCATGTTTTGGTGTTGGGCCGTCGCTAGTGTCTGCCTCCAGCAGGCTGGGGCCTGCATCTCGCAGCTACTGGCTGCACAGCCAAAACGGGGAGCTAGTACCAGGCTTCACTTGCTCTCTGCGTCTTTTTGCCAGGTAAGGATCAGCGGATTTCAGCCCAGAAGAGGCCATTAGCTCGTCTGGTCTGAGTCCTGCGTATCACGGGCCATTACGTTTCCCCCAGAACCCCGTGCAGAGCCCAGTGACACGTGTAGCTAAAGCCGCTTCCAAAAAGGCAGCCAGGCAGCTCGAGGGCCACCAGGAACCGGTGAACCCAGCGCTCCCCGGGAGTTTGTTCTGGGGGCTACGCGCCTTCGCCGGGAACCATTTGTGCCTAACGTCCCATGGGGCGGCGCCCGGCCACCACTGCCGCCAGGGGCTCCACAAACAGGCCCCACCCAGGCCTGGCTCTGATTTCACTTCCAGAGCCAGACCAGTCCCGGGTATGGTTAGCAGGGGAGCCAACATGCTCCCTTCTCTGCAGAGAACCCTGGTCAGCCTTGGGGGCTGTCGCGGTCCTGCTTGCAGACAGCACACTTCCTGGCGCTGGGATTTCTTTATTGGCTCAGCCCAGCTCTCCCCCTGGTACAGCCCCTCTCTTTGGGCACAGGGCTGGCAGCCTCGAGCGGCCTACGTAGCCCATCAACCCAAGCTCTTACCTACTGCAGAAGCGAGTGGCCAATACTTCATGGCAAAGAGAAGCCCAACATTGTGCTCTTGGCAGGACTTCATGCAGTTGACAAGGGAAACCCCTTCCGGGGCTTCTCCAAGACTGACTGGACCTATCTGAGCGCACGTAGCCAAGTGCTGTTGCTAACAAAATGATCCACCCTCGCGTCCCCTTGGCTTGAGGCACACTGACTGGTATGGGGCTACGCTACATTTCCCTGTACACGCCTTGTTCCTAGTGCCATCGGGACCTTGGGACCCACCACGGGCAGCAGAAAAGGAAGGGCCACTCAGTTCATGCCCTTGGCAATCCCCAAAACATCTCCTCCGGCTTCTCTGCTCTCCCAGAAAGCCTGCCCACGATCCCTCGTCCTCTGCCCCACAGTCCCACATGGCCAACTGCCATGCCTGTGTCACCCAGCTCCGGTGCGTGGGGCCACCGCCCGGTGTGAGTGCCAGCGCTCGGAGCAGGGAACGAGGGACTCCACCTTTGAATGGCTGGGCCCGAGGCGCCTTTGCTTTCTTAGACGCCGCGTTCCCATCTCCTTTGGATTCTGCCTCACAGGCGCTCTCCTCCTCTAGCGATTCATCGCCTGTGCTCTCAGAGTCTTCTTCCGCTGCTGACGCTCTCTTGTCCGGCGCTGCCCTGGGGCTGCCAGACTGCCCGTGGCCAGCCGCCGGCTCCGCTGCTTTCCCGGTGTGTCTCCCCAGCATCTTGGAAAGGGAAAGGAAGAGTTAATCCCCACTGGGTCCAGCGCCCACTGGCGGAGCAGCCAATGACCCAAACCTAGGCCTGGGCAGGAGCCGATGCAGCTGGCATGGAACCGAGCTGAGCGCTGCCCTACGGCATGCAGGCCTGCCGGCTGCTAGAGCACATGGGTGCCGCACGCAGCCCTCGGAGTCTCCACGCTCCACTCACTTGGCTAAGAGTCCTGGAAGGGATGAGAGTCGTCCAGCCAATCCCAGTAGGGAGCAGCTGGGAATTCGGGGGCGTTAGTAGTTTATTCCCCTGCGGGGAACCCAGCCCAGCAGCAGCGCCTGCTTTTCAGGGAGGATCCAGATTTCATTTCTCCCACCCACAGCTCCCATGGAGCGTCCCTCCAGGTAGGGTGCCTGAATTCTGCCACCCCGCAAGCCAGCTGTGCCCACCGGCGGCAGGAGGCACTCAAGGACCCTGCACACGGAGGGCTCACATGCCACCCCCGCCCCCCGCGCTCAGCAGGTACCGCAGTGCAGATGCAGGGCTTCGCTGGGGACCTGCCCACCCACAGCAGTGAAGTCGCACTTGCAGGTGGCCTCCACGCGCC